AAAACAGCCTGAGATTTTGCTGGATTCATATAGCTCAGTGGTTCTTAAACTGTGGGTTGGGACCCCAAAGTGGGTTGCAACCTGTTTTAAAGCGGTTGCCAGGGCTGGCGTTAGACTTGCTGTGGTCCAGGGCTGACGCTAGAGTCCTACCGCCTGGGATTGAAACCCAAGCACTTCAGCCCCGGGTGACAGGGCTCAGGTTACAGCTCCTCCCCCAGGGCTTAAACCCTTGGACTTCTGCTTTGCCCCCCCCCCCACCCACACACACACTTGGGACGGTGTTGTTTGAGTCGACTCAGGCTGCAGTGCAATGAAGTTTGAGAACCCCTAAAAGCATGAGACTACGATCTCCTCTCCCTGCCAATGTTGGTTTCATCTTCTGCCTTTATCCTCTTCCCTGATAGCATTTTAAGGTGCTATCAAAATAACCCTTGTTCTTGCTTGAATATCTAGTGAGAAACATGAAGGTATCAAGCTGGCAGAGATACTTTATTCTCTCTGACAGAGGAGAACAAGGTTTAGTGAATACACAAATGACCAGGAAGAAGGCAGCTAAAGAAGATCTTGCTCAGAAGTGGACTTTAAACAAGCAACATGATAAAGGCATGAAAACTGATGAAGCTCAAATCACGGATAATTAGAGAGGCACTTCTCTGGGTGTCTCTTCAAAACCATCATCATCAGCAGCAAAACTGGCTAAGAAGAGATGTGCAGACCATTTACCAGCACACTTACCAAGCCTGAAGAAAGGAGCCTGCACAGCCCCTTTTACAGTGATAGACACTCCCCCCAGCTGGCTTCCCTTTGGCACTATGATGTAAATGAGGCCCCCCCAGAGAGAGGAGACTGACATCTCCTGATCTTTGACATCACATCTGCGTATCACCACAGGGGGGCGTTTCAGCTCCTCTGCTCCGTTGAGGTCATCTGAGTGACACCCAATCTGCACCTGGAAATGAAAAGATGGCTCGGTTACGGGAACAACTGAGCAATGAACTTTACAGACCATTGTTTAAACACTTATCCAAGTGGAACAACTTCAACAGGAGAGACTGCGGGAGCCCCACACCAGAATATCCCATAGCCCATTGGTTAGAGCCCTGCCCTGAGAGGTGCTAGTCCCTGTTGAAATCTTTTTGCCCCATCAGGCAGAGAAGGGAATTGAACCTGGATCTCCCACATCCTGGTTGAGTGCTCTAATCACTGGACTCAAATTTGGGGCCATGCAGGCAAGATATGGGGGCCAATGCGTCTTCCCCTGCTTTGTGGCTCATGCTGGGACTTATGCGGGAGACAGGCATCTGGACACTTGGAGGGAGGTGGCAGTTTGCATGCCCAAAGGCGGAAACTGAACCCTGAATATATAGGGACCAAATGAGTTTTGTCTCATACAGTGTGAGGTGGCGGCCAAGGAGGAGTTTTGTGCATTGCAGTGGTGCCTAAAGCTGGGACTAAGGTGCCTAAATCCCATTGTGGAGCTGGGCCCTAGCTCCCCTGGATTGCAATGGGAGTTAGGTGCCTAAATACCTCTCAGGATCTAGGCCAAGGAGATAGTTATAATTTAGGCTAAGTTTTAGTCATGGGTATTTTTAGTAAAAGTCATGGACAGGCCACGGGCAGAAAACAAAAATGTACGGCCTGTGACCTGTCTGTGACTTGTATTGTATACCCTGAATAAAGCTCGTGGGAGGGGCAGCCCAGGGGCACCAGAGGTGCTCTTGGAGGGGGGAGGCAGCCCGGGACCTCCACTGATGCTGGGGAGGGTTGGGACAGGGAGTGGCCCGGGACCCCCACTGGTGTTGGGAAAGCTAGAGAGGGGGTCTGGCGGGGCTGGCAGGCTCCCTACCTAGCTCCATGCGCCTTCCAGAAGAGGCTGGCATGTCCCTTTGGCCCCTAGGCGGATGCGTGGCCAGGGGGGCTCCGCGCGCTGCCCCCACCCCGAGTGCACACTTTATAACTCCCATTGGCAGGCGACCGCAGCCAATGGGATATGTGGGTTCGGTGCCTGTGGCAGGGGCAAAGCGCAGAGCCACCTGGACGCATCTCCACCTAGGAGCCGGACATGCTGGCTGCTTCCGAAGTAAGTGCCGCCCAGAGCCCTCACCCACTCCCACAATCCAATCCCATGCCTCAGCCCCCTCACACACCCAAATTCCTGCTGCTGTTGAGGGAAGGGGTAGGGGCACTGAAATAATTTGCATAGTGAGGGTGCTGAGAGCCATTGAACAAAACAGTAAACCCTGTAAGTGATGGAAACCACTTCAAGCCAGGGGGTGCTGCACCCCTAGTTCCAGCACCTATGGGGAGGTGTGCAGTGGCCCGAGACTGCCCTAGCAGTAGCTAGTGTGGCTGGCCTGGGGGGCTGCCCGAGCTGCTCAGGTGGCCCCCAGGCCAGCTGCACCTGCCACTGCAGAAGTCCTGGAGGTCCCGGAAAGTCACAGAATCCGTGACTTCCGTGACCTCTGTGACAGACTCG